GATTGTTGCTGTGTCAACAACGGGACTGTCGAAATTGTGTGGCGGAGGTGGACTCATCACGCTAGCCCTTATGTAATGCTATTCGCCACCTTAAAGCAGTGGTAACGGCCTTGGGGGTATCTGTGGCCCATATTTATCGTGAAGCAAACTTGGTGGCAGATGCGATGGCCTCGTTGAATCTCCCTTCAGATACTGTCTTTTCTTCATAAAGGTCCGCTCGGCCCTTCCTTTAGACAGGCTTCAAGTTCCTTATGTCCGCTTCCACCATGCGCGTTAGCAGTAGTTGGCTTAGGGGTTGCCCCTGCTTTCCTCCCACACTCGCTGTATCACTCTCTTGCATTTTACATGATGAATAAAGAGGAATTTTGTTTAAAAAAAAACAAAACAAAACAAAAATGTGTCATTACATCAAAAGAAATTCAATAAACAATGGCTAATCTAGACTTTCATTGTCAAAACCAACCATCAACAAGTCAAAGGCACATTCATAGTGAAGATAATTTGGACATTATTTTCGGGAGTAAAGGTGTAGCAATTTTCATGGTGTGACACATTTAAGATAAAAGGGTGTTTGGAAAATGCATTACAACACTAAACAATTTTCTAAACAACGGCCAATGTAGAAGACTGAGTGCATTACTTTCTCTTGTTCTTATTACCAAACAACAAAGAAAGGAAGTATAATATCCTAAAGAAAATTCCCCAAGCAATGGTGATCCCAAAGCATTCCCATTTTCCAATATCAGCCATCCCTCTCTGCTTCAATAGGTCAGGTCCAATCGTCATGCACGTCCAGCTCATAATATTCTTGCCCAAAACGTGGCTTATGCCTCTCAACAGCTGCTCTTTTAATCCAACCGGTTCTGTACCAACAAAGGGAGTTCCATCGAAAACTTCAATTCCTATAACAATACATCTTGATGGATCATCGAATTCATTATGCATTAGTGCCTTGTATGTATATTTCTTGAGGGATAAGTAGTGGAACGGAATCCAGTAGAGTGGGATTTCATTGGGGGTTACGTGTACTCCGCAGAAGAGAACTAAGGAACCCAAAGTTTTGACAATAATCATGTAAGCACAGCTGGTATCAGGAAGCAATCCTGAGAGGAAAAGAATATATGAATTCCTAGCCCAAAATGAAGCCAAGATTACTCCAAATAGATGGAGAACCCTGTGAATCCTCCTTCTAGACCAGGCGCCCAAAATGTAGTGACGGAATATGTGATTGAGAGGAGCAACAAGGATGGAAGCCAGGTTAGTGCATCAGAGACAGAGAGCCAATAGGAGTATAGTCTATAGACATTGTAAGTTGTTTCTCTCAGCATTATGTTCCTCTCCTGAAGTATAATTGCCAATCAATCACTACAAATGTAATAGACTGCAATTGTTATCCTTTGGGAGAATTATCAAGTTGCCAGAACAATGATGCCGTAATGATTCCTGTGATGAGGGTTGCTCCAAATCGACAGGTGAAAACCTCTGGCATGCGAAAGGAATTAAGGAATGATCGTTTTGATAACACTGAGATTTCAGTCCAAAATGGACTAGTATATTTTGGGACTACTGAAGTAGGAGTACTAAAATCATCCTTATGGGTTGTCCCAGATACCAATTTATCTCGAGAAATAATGGAATTGAATGCTTGCTTCAAATCCAGACTTTGACTAAATGCTTGCTTCAAATTTAGGCTTTGTTTAGCAGTAGATTGTTTTACTTCTGATCCTATTCCTCTACCCATGTATTGCTGCTGCCATATCTGATTGAATTGGGCCATGCTGTCAATCCTATCCCTAGAATATTCAAGATCGCAGATGAGATCCAAAATTGCATCAGAAGGGTTTTGATCTGCAGGTATTGGTTGTCCAAGGTTCTCCATAAAGAAGGGCAAATTTGATGGAGATCCACTATAGACTACTTGTCCATGAGACAAGAATAACAGCTTGTCCAATAGGCCAAGAATTTGAAAACTTGGCTAGTGTATAGACATGATCAGCATGCTTCCTGTCTGAGCAATGCACTGTAAAACCTTCACAACCTTGAAAGCACTAGTGGAGTCGAGTCCTGAGGTTGGCTCATCAAGAAATTAAAGAATAGGATTGTTTATGATCTCAATTCCAATAGAGACTCGCCGGCGTTCTCCACCAAACCCCTCAGTGCTCTTCATCTCCGATGATGGTTTGAGCTGCTGTTTGATGATCTAATTGATCGATCAAATCATGAACTCTTTTTTTCTTCTCGAATTTGGAGAGAATTTGAGGGAGCCTCAATTCGGCAGCAAACGTCAAAGTTTCTTCAATAGTTAGCATTGGAAAAAGGAGGTGATCTTGCATAACATAGGCAGAGATCGCTCTGAGTAAGCTGGAATCCAATTGTTCACCACTCAGGGTGATCTTTCCATTCAAGCTTCCCTTGAATATCCGATTAGCCAATGCATCAATCAGGGTCAACTTCCCTGACCCTAAGAGGCCTACCACGGCCAAAATTTTACCTCTATGTGCCTCACCAGAGACATCATTAAGTAGAACTTTCATCTCTGTCTCCTTAGAAGAAAGGTTGCTCTTATTGGTGCAGGAGAAGATACTAAACCAGTCAAGTTTATGGCTAATTTTGACGTTGTAAGAGAGGTTACTGAATGAGAGAGTGAGAGGATAAGCCTGATTTTGGATGTTGGGGTTCCTCATTTGGACGACTCAATGAGCCGCAATAACCTCAGCGTTGTCCTCCTCCTCTGAATCACTGGTGCTCACCAAAAGGGGAGTTGGTGATGCAGAGTTGGTGGACGTTGCAGCTAGTTCAATCTCCACCATTGTTCTGCGCTAGCTACTAGTTGAGAATTAGATACTCTTGTTTATAATATGGCATATCGAATCAGTAATTGATTGTCTAGAAAGCAGGAATAGAATGAAGCTTTATTTCTTTATTAATTGGTAAAAAATAGAGTAGTTTCATTTTTCATAATTGATACATAATAGAGAGTAGCATTCAAAGTATTATGAACTGTAGTCAAGGATGAGGAAGACGATCTGTTTTTCTAAAGACTCATGTACAGGGAAGGGAACGAAGAATTAGATTGAAGAATATACTCTTAGAAAAAAGATAATGAAAATGAATACTCTAAGGTTCCCTATTTCAACTAATGTAAGAGTAGTTATAAATTACTGCATGACTGTTAGTCATCATCTTAAACTCTTTTCTCTCCTTTCTCTCTGTAAAACTCTTTTCTCTCCCTTCTCTCTAGAACTCTTCCATCAAAATCTTCTTTATCTCTCCATGGGAGGAAGACCAAATCTGGTCTTTTCCTATGGGAGGAAGTACTCTTTATAGTTTTTAGTTTCTCTTATTTGAATAAATTTTCTCTAGGATTACCTAATGAGAGATTTTCTCTTCTAGGATCTCTTAATGAGAGTTTCTTCTCTTCTAAATTGTTCTAGTCAGAGTTTTATTCTCTTATGGGTTTTTTCTTGTGAGAGATTTTTAGATTTTTATCTTTGTGAAATTTGAGATTTTGTAGATCTAGAATTTAGTTTCTCAAATATGCAATTTCTCTATTATTGTTAGATTTAAATTTCTCTTTGGGCTTGAACTAGTTTTAAATAGATCTGATTGTCAGCAAACATGTACTGATGTATTGGATTACAGTCATTCATCTGGATAGAAGATATATAGGAGCACTAATTTTATCTTTATTTGTATTTTTTTTAGATCTATTATATGAATTAATTTCAAATCTATATGTATTTGTGTCATATTTGTTTGATATATTTTCTGCCATTAGTGCAGATTTGTTTGAATGAAATAATTTTTTCTATATAAAAAAAAGTTAGTCATCATCTTAGAAGAGGAAAAATATGTTTATAATTGTCCCCGTGTTAATTTAATATGGTTGACTACTTTGAGTTTAGTTATGCTAGGGGCAATCCTACAAGGTTTGGTCAAAACTGATTAATTTAATTTCGAAAGTTCTCCTCAATGGATTGAGTTTGAATCACGAAACATGGCAAAAGTTTCTGCTTTTAGAAGGCATGAAAAGATTTGCAGAAATTCTTGGGATTTCTATCAACGAAGATGTTCTAAAACCTGCATTGTGTTCGACAGATTAACTGTTTGGATGTTTTGCGCCTTTTAACTTGTACAAAATGGAGCACAGTATTTCTTTTATCCCTTTATAAACTTAAGAACCAAAAGGAAAAGAAAATGCTAAACTAATGAAACTATGCTAGGATATTATACTTTAGCCCCTCTGAATCGACAAATTTTTGTATAACTCTACTTAGTTTCAAAATTTTATATAATGTTTCATATTTTGGATTAAATTGTCAAATGGAAGCAAACCCTCTTCAATAATGGGCCAGTTGAAAATGTAACCATTACTTTTATGTAACAAATATACTCTGGACAATTTCCTTTTTTTAGGAAAACAGATTGATGCTTGTTAATTAAAGTAAAGCTAAGCTTTTGCTCTATCTGAACTAGAAGCGTGCTTTCGCAATAATAACCTCAATTCACGGGGATGCAGAAAGGCATTAGCTATTTGTTTGATTTGCAGATGGTCCGCTCCGTGATCTTAGTCCCAATATAGTTTAATCATCTATTTTACTTTGGCACAGGCGAAAATATAAATAGAAAAAGAAAATGGGAAACCAAAGTTCAATTGTTCCCCGAGTATTTTGGGTGTTATTGGCATCTTCCTTGGTGAAAATCAGCTCCAAGTTACAGCTGACTTTTTGTAAGCTATGTGTTGTTTTTAACTTTGGCATTTTAATTTTAGGAAAATTCTGTACTAAGTTACATATGACTTAATCCACACAAATAAACTAATGGATGATCCACTTTTTTTGGAAATTTACATGTTTGTATCTATCGTTTAGAAATATTATAATTTAGAATTGCTTTTTATAGGTGAACTCTTTTTTTTTGAAACGATATTAGTAATATATTGATCATCAACTGAACTTTACAATTGAAGCAAAGGCCCCTCATTTCTATACAAAAAGTGCTCAACAGCACAAAGGATTGATCCATTCCTCATCATGTAGAATATCTAAAGCATAATCACTAACTCTAATACTAACATGATTAACACTTTTAGATATAAGACAAAAAGAGCACATGTGAAATAAAGTTTTCAAGCTAAGAATGTCCTCAACTAGAGTATGCAGCTTGATATTTGATGCACTTCCAGAATGGATTTGCTGAAGTAGTTGCTTGTTGCAGCTCTGTATGATGATTTTCCTCCAACCATTGATTGCTAATTTACTCATAGCTATCTTAATAGCCTCAGCTTCGTCCAATTGTGGACAATTGTAGCTTCTTTCATGTATTGCCCAAGCCGCAACAACCACATCTCCTTCAGTCATAGCAGTCACTCCTATGCCAATCTCCTTACTGTTCGATCTTCTGAGTGTAGCAATTTTCACTTTAATCACCTTTGCATTCTCCACTTCTATCCTTTGAGTTTGGTTAGCAGCTGTTTCTTCTGTGATCATCTGTTCGTTGTCTTTGTATGCTTCGCAGAACTCTATCCATTCCTCTTGAGCTTTCAGTATGGTTGTCATTGCATGCCTTTGTTTGTTGTTGAATTCCAACTCATTTCTACTTTTCCATACTTGCCATAAAATGTTAACTGTTAGACCAAGATGTTCTGCACCATCCTGCCTAGATCTGGTGCCTACACTTTCATTCCACCAGGTCTTGAAGCATCCTTGTTTTTCCATAGCACTCTCCCACTATATAGGTGCTATGTGCCATACCTGCTTGGCCTGTCAGTAGGTCAGCAACGCATGTTCCATAGTCTCTACCCCTTCTCCACATGCTTTACAAATGGGATCACCTTTTTTCATCCTATTAAAGATTACTTCATTGACTGGAAGAGCATTGTTGATGCATTTCCACATGAAGGTCTTCAGCTTATGCTTTATGTTTAGTTTCCATAGGCAAGACCACATTTGCTTTGATGTACTATGTATACTTGTACTAGCATCCTCCTGATCTTTCCTTCCCTGGATTTCCTTATCTTTCATGAGTGCGTTATAACCTAAGTTCATTGTGTATGCCCCGTTGAGGTATGTATCCAGAAGTTACTATCCTCCTTTCCTGCTAAGCTGATTGGAATGCTTAGAATCCTTTCTGCATCCACACTATTAAACGTTCTGAGCACTAACACTGTATTCCACCTCTTCTGAGTGATTAGGTCCTGTACTTTCTGCTCCTTACATTCTGGAGGTTTGTGTATGGAGGGCCTTCCATCTCTGTTTCCGACTATCCACTTGTCCTCCCAAATGCCTGTACTAAGACCATTCCCAATTTTTCTCCAGGTGCCATCCTCCACATGCTGCTTAACTCCCATCAGACTTTGCCAGATCCATGAGGCATTTTGGGGACACTTGCACTTGAAAATGAAGCCATTAGGGTAGTATTTTGCTTTCAGAACCTTGGACATTAGCAGATTTGGGTTTATAATAATCTCCAAATCTGCTTTCCAAGCAATGCTTTATTGAAATTGACCAAGTCTTTGAATCCAAGTCCTTCCTGATTCTTGTTCTGTGCCATTCTCTTCCAGGAGCATAGATGCATCTTGTCCTTTCCATTATTGTCTCCCCACCAGTAGTTTGCCATCAGTGTACTGAGTTCCTTGCACAGCTTCAGAGGTATTTTAAAGCACGACATTGCATAAGTTGGCATTGCTGAAGTCACTGCTTTTAACAAGACCTCCTTACCTGCTTGACTGAGCAATTTCTGCTTCCAACTTTCCAAGTTCTTTTTGATGTTGTCTCTGATGAATCCAAAAATTTGGTCCTTTGTCCTTGTTATCACCATTGGGAGTCCCAAATATTTGCCTTGATTGACCATCTGGATATTTCCCAATCTGCAGCATACTTCCAGTTTTTTGCAATGGTCCATGTTCTTGCTGAAGAAGATAGAAGACTTCTCTAGATTGATCAACTGTCTAGAACTCTTTTCATAAGCCTCCAAGATCCTTCTCAGCTCCTCAGCATGTTTGGTGTCTGCTTTACAAAATATTAAGGAATCATCTGCAAAAAATAATTGTGTTAGTCTAGGTCCATTCCTGCTGATTTTGAGTCCAGTTATCTTCTTCTCCTCTTCAGCTCTTTTCAGCAGACTTAAGAAGCCTTCTGAGCATAGTAGGAAGAGATAGGGTGAAAGAGGATCACCCTGTCTTATTCGTCTTTCTAGTTCTACATACTCCTTAACCTCACCATTTATGTTGAAGGAGTAAGAAACTGATTCAACACATTTCATCATTCAACACCATTTAGTTCCAGCTAATCCACCTGTTATTAAATCCCATTTTTTGCATTATGGCCCTCAGAAAAATGCCACTCAACTCTATCATAAGGTTTAGGCATATCTAGCTTAACAGCCATGTACCCCTTCTTCCCTTGCCTTTTGTTTTTCATAAAATGCATGTATTCATGGGCTATAATAACATTGTCTAGGATCTGCCTACCAGAAATGAATGCAAACTGGGTTTCACTGATACAGACATTGAGCACACCTTTTAGCCTATTAGCCAGTATTTTGGAAATAACTTTATAGAGCACATTACACAAGCTAATAGGTCTATAGTGCTTAAGATTGACAAGATCTCTAATTTTTGGGATGAGGGAAATTAAGGTATGATTCAGGGCTCTGGGCATGGAATTGGAATGAAAGAAACTCTAGGTAGCCTGGACTACATCATATTTGATAATACACCAGAATTTCTGGAAAAAATGGGGGACATACCATCCATTCTAGGAGCTTTATTAGGTGACATAGAGAAAAGGGCTGTTTTGATCTCTTCTTCATCAACACCTCTAGTCAGTTGATCATTCATGCTAGCCGTAATGGTGGATGGAATACCCCTAAGGATCTCCTCAGCACTACCATTCCAATTACTAGTGAACAGCTGCCTATAAAAGTCTGCTACTTCCTCACCTAATTCCTACTCATTCTCAGTTCAAGAGCCATCCTCTCTTTGCAGATTTAACATTCTGTTCCTCCTCCTCCTCCCCATGAAAATATTTAGTATTCTTATCCCCCTCATTTATCCAGTTCAATCTAGCTTTTTGGTGCCAGTACAATTCCTCCTCCTTGTAGGCCTCTTTCAACTGCTCTTTCAGGTCCACTGTCTCCCTTCTATTACTTGCATGAATGCTAGATCTAATCTTCTCCAGCTGACTTTTGATTTGATTGATTTTCTTTTTAGCATTGTGATTGGAGTTATTTCTCCACTTTAATAATTCAATCCTGCAGTTTCTGATTTTACATTTGACCCTGAACATTCTTGATCCCTCAAAGTCTTGTTCCCAGGCATTTCTGATCACATCCTGAATTCCTTCTCTCTTTAGCCATCTCTTGTCAAAATAAAACATTTTTTTCCTCTTCCTAGTCTCTGGATTTGTATCTATCATCAACATGCTGTGGTCAGACGCAAAGGTATCAACATGTGTGCATTTGACTTTGTCAAAAACTAAGGACCAATCTATGCTACACAAGCCTCTATCTAGTCTTTCTCTGACTTCCCCTATATCCTCCCAATTGTTACTCCAAGTCCACGGGTTCCCCTCAAAGCCAATATCAACCAACTAGTTATCATTGACGAAGTTATTGAAGTCTGTGAAGCTCTTCTCTTCCCTCCATCTATCTCCCCACTTCTCCTCATTTGAGAGAATGTCATTGAAATCCCCTGCAATAATCCACTTCTCTCCCTACAGCTTTTTCCTATCCTTTAACACTTTCCATTGATTCTTCATAATCAGATTATCACAACTTGCATAGATACCAATAAACCACCATTGTCTTTGTCTCAAGATCTTCCATGTGAGCTTTTATAGTAAAGGCAGTTTTAAGTATCTCTTTATTTTTACTTCATCTTTCCACAACAGTGCCATGCCCCCGGATCTATTCATTGACTCAACCACACAACTATTCGCAAAATTCAACTTCTCCTTCACTCTATCCATGTATTTCTCTCTATTTTTAGTCTCACTCAAGAACATCATACTTGGGGAGAGGAGGTTGGAAACCTCCCTCAGATGGGGAATTGTCAAGGTGCTCCCAACACCTTGGCAATTCCATACCAGTACCCTCATTGAGGTTTGAGGGCCCAGAGTAGGCTGGTCCCCTCCTCCTCTTTCTCCTGTACATTAAAACAAACCTCAAGACATTCTTTGTTTCTTTTTCCCCCTACCTCTCTGCCTTCAACATCTACCATTTCCTCATCACATAATTGAAACTTCCTTTTGCCTTGTACTCTTGAGTCTTTAGTATTGATGCTGATCTCCTGTAGAGGTGTTCTTCTCTTTGGTAGGGATCTTAGCTGCCTCTTCAATCTCCTACTCTGTCTTATAACAGATTCTTTCTTTTTATCCTCAACCATAAGGTCCATTAAGGTAACTTCACTTGTATTATCCTTGACTCTCCTTCCCCCTGGTTCTCTTTTCCTTTTACTGTTTCCTTCTCTTTATCCTTCCCAACTGCTTGTCCCTCTTGTTGAGAGGTTTCCTTTATCTCCATACTGGCATTAGTCCCCTTCCCTCTACCTTCTCAGCCTCCATATTCAGCTTGTAAAGAGAGGCTACAATAGTTGTTTCCTTTTCCTGCCTGTTTACCATAGCCTTAGGGGCTGTACTTGGTTGACTAGTATAGCTGTCCCCTATCCTTTGCTTGGTAATCTGCTCCTATATCTCCACAGCATGATGTAGTGAACTCGTTTTATCTGTGGATGGGTTATGGCTGCTTTGACCCGGGTCCTGTTGTCTTTGTTTCAACACTTCAACCCAGGTCCCATTATGTAGCCTCCAGCGATGCTTATCACTGGCCACTCTCTTAACCCGTGGTTCTTTTTGGGGTGAACTCCTTCCATTCCCAGCTCTCATCCAAGTACCATAGTGGTTTTCCAAATGCCCTCTATCTATAAGGACCAATCTCTTGCAATTCCTCTCACTGTGCCCTACAACTCCACAATTGTAACAGAAATCTGGACACCTCTCATATTTGAAACTCACCCACTTGTAGAGCCTTCCATTTTGACAATTGTCCCTCTCAGTAGAGGTTGAGAAATATCAGCTACAACTAGCAGCTTGATATGTCTTCCTTCTTTACTAGCTGTCTGAGGGATGATTACCTCTTTAACTCGATTGAACACAGCTCCAATTTTCCTTCCTACCTCCTTGGACACCCAGTGCACCGGGAGGTTCCATACTTGCACCCAGAGAGGGGCCTCTTTAAAAGCACTTTCGTCCTCTTCAATACCTTCAGACCACCTATTCAAAACTAGGATCTGGCTATCTATAATCGATGGTCCTCCCCCTAAAATCCTTTCCCTTTCTTGTTCCCCATGAATGAAGAACTGAAAGGAGTTGAGGCCTAGTTCTACAACTCTGAGGTCTTTTGGATAACTCCAAGCTGCTGTTACAAAGCTCTTCACTCCAGTATAGTTAGCTATTTTCTCTCCTTTAATTTTCCCAATAAGGCTCAACTGGCATTCTTTCACTCCTAAGTTGATTTTAGCTCTATCCAAGTCAGCCCCTCCTAACTCCTTACTGGAGAGCGCAAACTTCCCTAGAATCTCAGCCAAGTCCTCAACCATGAAGTCACCAAGGGATCTTTGGGTATTCCACCAACCAAAACTACCTAGCACTATGTCATGGACTGGAGCTGTAAAAAGAAAAGCAGAAAGTACAGAACAACCAGAGCCTTACAGTGCAAA